ATCGATCCATTGTTCGAAGAAAACTTTTTTGGATGAATAGATTGTTGTGTACGACGAGGGTCGGAGCGCAACGACAATCAGAATGACAATGGAAAAGACTGAGGGCCCGAAAGCTAGGCTTTATTCATCCAAAACTTTGACACTGAGAGCTGAAAATGGAAGAAAGTGATTTAGCAACAAATGATGAAACGTTTGAAAAACAGCAAATATGTAACAACTGTGCACTCGGTATAAGAATTGTGATGCTCCAGTCGTGCAACCGAGAAGTGATATCTCAATTTTTAGAGTGTCATTTGCATTGTTTTCATAATTTCCTGCTAACTGTACTTTAACTTTTGTGGGTAAGTAGCATGTAAGTCAGCTACAATTCTGCAACTATCGCAACCGCTAGCGATATTTTCTCGTGGCAGTTGTCACCGTTCTCTCAATAATAGGAACTCATGACCCGCTGGTGTTGACAACCTTTGAGTTGAGTGATTCCTTTTTCCTTAGGCTTCGAGGAATCACAGGGAGGGTTGAGTCCTCTCCAGGTACGATGTTAAACCACAACCGTACGCTAGTTTAAAAGGGGGGACCGATTTCGGAAATCCCGGTCTCGTGAATTTTGAGAGTAACAATGGAGATGTGTGATGCATCTACTGGGGACTGTATCAGTAATCCCAGCTGCTCAAGTTCTCCATTGAATAACGTCAATGGGATAGCAGTGGAGATCCCTAGGTGTTTGGTTCTGCGCGGACTTTTTCCATCCCTCGGAAGTGCAATCATACAACTACCCTCAGTCCGTCCGAGCTCAATCTGTTTATGCCGATAAGTTCAGGTGGGAGGAATTCGGGCAACCGGTAATGATCATCGGAGGTTAGGACGTTACAGACTTCTAGTCAACAAGGCCGATTCCTCAAAAGTTCTCAGCAGTTGTCGGTCTACTGGTTGTATTCCCATTGGTTTTGGGTCAGTTCCTTGTACGCTAGTGCTCCGAACATATATGGCAAAGAACATGAAATATAGCGTTTGATTTGTTTTTACCTCAGAACCTCGACCTGACTGGTCGCCGTGGCGCGGTAACGGACCGAGCATACAAACACCTTCAGGACATACGTGGAAACCTGCGGGCCACTCGATGGTGTCTAACTATGGCAGTCGTGGATCTGGTCGTCGTTATCCCTGATTTCTCAACAATGCATTTTACTGTGTTGCCACTAATACATTCACTGTATATTCTAGCCACTGGTACTTTTTATGGTTACTGGCCGTTTGTAGTAGAGTTGGGTCTCCACATGTACTTACGTTGTTGTAATCGATCACCGTACATTTAATCTTTTCATTCGGTCAGCTGCATTAAAGTTCAGCTCAGTCATTCCGTGGCTTAGGGCGCAGTTCATAGTGGAAAAAACCAGCAAACGGCTTCGTAAAGACATTGAACGCCTCGTAGAGTGCGCGTGTAATGATGTTTACTTAATCGTTCAGTTCCAACAACCTTGCGCTGCCTAGCTGCTATGCACCACGAAGGAGGCATGAGGACTGGGATACTACCAGGTTGCCCAAGCCTAGACAGGGAATTCGAACCAGTCAGTAAATTCGTGCTCTAACCACAGCCATCTCGAACCCGTTGTTTAATTAACCTTTGGTATGTAGCGCAAACCATGGGGCGATCTACTGAGTGAAATTCTCGGCACCCCTTCAGGATGGCGCGCATTTTCCCGCTATCGTTGTTTGAACAAGCTTCACTGTTGAACGAGCCATTTAGTTACCAGTTAGGAAGCGCTCTTGTTTTTTTTTTGAAGATATAGTCAGGTATCTCTCTTTGAACAACTGATGTATCAAACTTGACATTTAGAGTGGGTGTTTCGGAAAATGGAGTTCACCTGTGAAGCGGACTGTTCAATAAGCCGGCTCACTAATGTCGACTGCGTTTGACTTCGTTATACTCCAGGAGAACTGTGTAGGTTCACTCGTACACTTTCACCACAGGTTACATGCCATTTCCTACATCCAACTTTCACATGCTTGTCACTCATCAGGCTCATTAGGAACTCATTTATGTGCACCAATTCTACGTAGATTACGCCGCCGAACCGAGTGCTCTTTGCGGGACATTGCTCGAAAGTACATCATTATTCACCCGGATCACTGGTGTTCATTCCTAGTTGTGGTTTCACCGTTATTTGGTGCAATCAGCAGGATTGTCCTACTTATTGCGTTATCAGGCTACTGATGACGCCTCCTTATTTCGCACACTCTTCCCATCCGCTTAATTTGCGACAGAGATTTCGTGGTCCCGTTCTCCTTGGGACTTGTTCGCCACCCATCACCATTAGCTACATTATCTACGCCTTCGAATCCCGATACTAGTTGATCAACAGACTGTTCTTGACTGTAAGTTACGCCTTTCGCTGTTGGTAAAACTGCAATTTGCTGCATCCTAATATGCGAGTGAGTGGATTAGGTCGAAGTTCCCCTATCTTTTTGGCCAACTCTAAATAGTGCGGGAAAGCCAAAGCATTCCTTATATCGATATAGTTATCAGCTAACCGCAGACTAATTCCTTTGCGTTAGCTCCCTTGGGAGGTTACTTTAGTTTTATCGAGGCTTTGCAGATGCTATGCTGTCGAAGACAGATTTTTGCACATTGCTCGTGTGATGCTTCACTGTCATGCAACGGCGGACAACTTGTTCACATGAAACCCTAAATCGGGAAGGAGGTAAAAGCGGACAGTGATGGCGCCCAATGTTAGCTCATCTCAGACACTGCCATTTTTGGACAGTAGGCAATGAAACGCAGCGATTTAGATTAATTGGCGAGTTTGATTTAGAGGGCTCATTCATCAAGAATAAAGAATACTTCTGTGGTAGTGAGTGGAGGATTTGACTGATAAATCATAACCTCCTGACTGTTCGGTAGGTCTCCAGGCAAGCCACAGGATGGTCGCGCTGGCAATGTTTGCTGCACATAATCCAAAACGGACAAACCTTTGGGAAGTATGATTCTTACCTTGCTGGCCTTTTTGTGCGGGACTGAATTGCGAAGATGGGAGTGTGTCTTTCCACATTTTCGCTGGCGTCACGAGGAGGTACTTGATACGAAACAGGATTACTTGTCTCTTGATTACGATAGTTTATCTTGGGGTTATTCGAATGCCTGCTAGTGACTAACGTTCCGTCATTGGGAGCTAATTTACGAAAAAAGCAAAATGGGTCTCGATTCGTTCGTATTGATCTGAGATCCTGCATCTAGATTCTGTCGGACTACCTAGTGTGCCAGGACTACAAGCCTCTAAGATTGAGCGAGACGTTCGTTAGGATATGCTCCCATTGTAATGAACAAGCATTTTTTACTCTGACTAAATAATTAGCTTCCTCAGATGAGCGCAAAGGCCTTTGTTGAGGAGCTGAAAGTGGCGTCGACTAGTAGTTATTCGATAAATACGCTTTCAGGCATATTGTAAGTCAAGTTGTCCCCTTTTTTAGAGGTTCAGCGCCATATCGGTGTAAATTGAATAATTTCAACGAGGTTTGAAGCCCCCCCCCCCCACGACACTCAATGGATGCTGTACAGCATAAAAGGTAGGAACAGCCTGGGTTCTGGATTTGCTTTTGGTGCGTATGATATGAAAAGCAAATCTGAATTCAGCCCAACAAAGAGCATTAAGGGCGTCGTTTCCACCCCTACATTATGTAACCAAATACGACGGCCGTCAAGCGGTAGTCCAGTAAAAATGGACCGGCTTCTAATCATGTATATAGTGTCGAACAGTATCTACTGAACCAATCTACCTGCGTTGTTTCAGGTCGGCAAAGCTCACTTGGTGCATTGCTTGACGTGTTCGACATGTGGAATGTTCGATTCGAAAGACAACAAAAAACAACGCTGTATTTTGACACAGCTGATGCAATTTACTGTGTCACGGTGCACTTGGTCAAAACGCAGTCAGTGTTAATACTTGATACCGTTGAAAAAGCCAATAGCTATGCCACTGTGTTCAACCATCCGTGACTGAGTTACAAGTGATTCCTCCATCAAAACCGAACTGGTATGTAAATGAGTGCACTTCGCTGGTTTCGTGCAATCTGGGTGCAAGTGGAACATAAGGCTGACGGAAACAGGGGTTGCGCCTACCTGATGGCCTCCAAGAAAGGCTAAACCGGTCGTGGGCTGTCCACCTATCGCATGTACAAGTTGGCGGTAATAAGAAATCTTCAGTGTTGGGGTGATGTCTGGTGGTAAAGGAGAGCTCTCCTGATAACCAGCATTTCATTGTTGTGCTACATGTGTACTAGCCGATTCTCAAGAAGAAACAATCGTTCGAGCCGATCGCACTAACCTAAACTGGTTAACAGCTTCCAGACTGATCAGTATCAACGCGGCAATCCGTTTAGCAATTATTGATGAGGTTGAATGGAGCAACATAGCCCGCTGGACCTACAGCCAGTTTTTTCTGTAGTTAGTGTGCCTACCGTAAATTTGACTACACCTTGGACAAGCTAACTCATAAATGCATACAGTACATGTAATATGCTCATCATCGCTAGTAACTCTAACTGGCAACTGACGGACTTTAAGGAAACCAGATTGCACGTGGCTAGAGAAATTTTATTCTCTTGCGAGAAACGTTTTTGCCACGTACTTCAAAAACTTGTCCTAGGTTCGATCTGGCAGGCGGTCAACAAGTGCTTGCTGGGACCAGCCGAAAGCAACCTCTTGAAGGGATCCTTCAAGAAAGGAACAACTTCAGTATCCTCGGCAAAGTTGGTATTGCATCGTTTGTGGCAGGACCTAAACACATTTCTGTTTTGGTTATGCGAGTGGATATGTAATCCTGCTGCACAATACTACGTGATCCTGATTCATATAGCATTTAGTCTGGAGAAAATTTTGAGCGCGCAAAGTAAACGATGGTGTCTTTTCTTTCTGGGCTGACTACCCAATTGGTCTCAAACATTTTCCAGTTGATTGTAAACGATGGTGTCTTAGTCAAGTCAATTTTGGCTTTTAATGCAGCGGTGCTCAAGGTTGCATGCGCACATACCAACGTTAATAACAGCTTCTGTAGTCTCACGGTTGATTTCATCGCGATCAGCGGACATAAATATTGAAAGACAATCGGGACATATTTTCATTCCTATTAACTTGCCACAATTTCCCTCACTTATTTGATGTGTTAATTTCATTCGATTATGGACGTGCTTCTGCAAAAATTTCTGACTGACCCATGCTTTAATTGAGTCTACTTGTTTGGGTTAAGGAAATCCACCACCCAGCACTTTATCCTGATTGAGTTAGCACAATATGGGCCACAAAACGGTCATTGCGTGCCCCCAACCACTATTCGCTCCGTGTCAACACACGGGACTTGCAAACGAGATTATATTTCAACCACACCGCAACAGTAACAATAATAATACTATGGTAATAATAATAAACTTCAATATTGTTGAGAAATCTCGTCGCTCGTCCTCACTACATACCGGGGGACGCACAAGGAGCCGATCGGAGGCCGCGAATGCAGCAAATGCGAAGCTGCTGCTGGACTGGGTCCGACAGTGCTCGTATTCAAACCTAGGTGAAACAGCACCCGCTTCAAGTAATGGAAAGCTAAAGAACTACAAAAGATATTAGAGCAGGTTGTATGCTGAAAAGCTAACAAAAATGGCTGTTAGGCGCCATCTGTTTGTGTACAATAAAGCTGTTTTGTTGTCTTACTTTGTCTGGATAAACTTAGCTAGACGCTCGGTTCAGTGAGGTTTATCACCACCGACGTTCAGACGACCTGAAGGTGCGTATTATAATATATTTAGGGTCTCAAAGCTCTTTAGACCACGAATAGGCCTACCATTTCTATATGGTTCTGTGGGCTGGATGATATATACGGTTAAATTTCGACTCATGGAGGCTGAGGAAATCGGGATTAAGGTTACATCTAATTCGAGCCTTGACACGTTCTTGTTACGGAAACATAAGACAGTTTGCTTCCTGAAGTATTACGCACATGACCCACTAGCTTCTTCCTCAAACTGGTAAGGTTTTGACTAGCGTATTTCTCTCACACTTGACCTTGTTTTTTTCTGAAATGTAGTGTCTATCTTTAACGATGTATGTGCCTTATCCGAAGTTACCTGCGATGTTGACTGGATCATCTTTGAAAAAAAACTACAAACTACTCTTATGGCAGCTTCCTGCATGCCCATGTAAATGTTGCATGTACTACCGCAAGCAACCCCATTACATACACAACACTCATCATGTTCTCT